CCCTTCCAACCCAAACCGTTCTGTGATTCTTCCCTCCTGCATCAACACAGTCGGGACGTACAGACACTGCGCTACAACTACCTCAGTCACCCATTCAGCATAAACCCCGCCGAGCAGGAGGAATGGCCACGGCTCTGTGTACTCAGGAGTGGAAGGTTCATTATAGCTGATACCACATCACCCAATTGCAAAAATTAATGACAGTGATTGCTATGGATAGCGATCGGCTGGGACACCACAAAGAAATTAGGTGGTTTTACCCCGAAATCTTTCTGCTATATAGAAGCTGTTGCCCTTCCAATATTGGCTGAGGACAGTGATGAAGCACTTCAGAGCACACATGGTGCTGTGACCAAGTTTGCCGCACAGTGAGCGGCCAGGTGCCACCAGCTACTTCTAGGATAACCACAACAGCAACTGGAAGAAGGATCCCAATCCAAAGAGGGACTACAAAAACAGTGAGAATGTTCTGTAAGAATACTTTCTGCCGTGGTAGCAGCTTGTCCTTGGTAAACCAATTAACCCTCCTAGGGACTGGGTTCAGACACTACCAGCAAGAAGTTGACTTTAGTTTGTGAAGCCACCTGCTCTCGGGTCAAGTCTCTCCACAGAGCAGCCTCAGATCAAGTACCTCTTTGTGGCTGTTAGACAACTAAACTCTCACACAGACTGCACAAGCAGAGCCCTGGAAGGCCACCAGGGCTCACAAGACACTGCAGGGATTTTTACTTTTTGTTTTAAGAGGCCTCAGTAATTTCTCCCTTCTTTCAAATCCCCCAAAGCAGCATTGGTTTAGCAGGAACTAGCTGAACGTGCGCAGGAAGCCTAACCGTAGCGCCAAGGACATGATACTTCATTTGGGAAGGAGAGGGAATCTAACCACGAGGTCCTCATGAATTTATTGGTAGCTATTCTGGGGCTCTTCCACCTTAGTTGCTCCTTGAATTATCTGACCCATATCCTCTGCCAGCATAGGAGTGCTCTGATTTAAAAGGGGTGACGCTCCAAACAACACAGCTATGCTGAGAGGCACCGGGGAATATTATTTCCCCCTTTTCATTTCATGTTCTGAAATGGGCCGCCCCCTTATTTCGCAGAAGGAGGCAAAGGCCTGGAAGCGAAGAGGCGATGTAGGTGCTCCAGTGTTTGATGACTTCTGAGTGAAGGGGCAGAACGAACGCAGTCACCCCCCGCCTCCCCCCTGCAGCTTCAAGGCATCCCACAGCCAGGCAAGGGAAGCCTGCAGTAAGATGACTGTCAAGCGATGCACTTTCTAGTGCCAAGTTTCACCAGTTACTGTGGAAGGTGCTCTGTACAGGATACACACTTGTTCCCTAACACCTATCACTGATATCACAAGGCAAAACGCAGATGATTTTTGCAAGCTTGCTGATATTAATACATCACAAGCATAGTAAATACCAAGCTGGGTTTTTTTTCTACCTTTACAAGCAACAAGGATGACAAAAATACAGCAGCACTCATTAGGAAACCTCACACAGAAAGCCTTCCTTTGAAATTGTTTGGAAATAGTGCAGAAACCCCGCTGTGGCCGTCTGGGAGAGCGTGCTGCAGAACAGGGAGGCTATCCACACGTGGCTTCCAAAGCAAAACCCAGACTGCCAGAGCACAAAAACCAGCACTGCAGTTACACTGGAGCGATTTTCTTTTGTCCAGCCATCCCTGCGATCTGCAGGTGGCATTTCAGGCTGCGGAACAGCAGCACACACTGCACTGAGCTGGATTCCGCTGCCGACTGAACCATGCAGGTTCATCCCAGCAGAGGGCTTGGCTTGCTAACACCGCTTTAATTCCTCCACCTCGCATCAGATCCTCCCAGGACACAAGAACATCCTCTTCCTCCGTTAGCAACACCACCTGGGTCACAGCTAAGCTGATCTCTCACAACAAAACCACGTGAAGTGTATGCCATGCATCTACTACATGAGGACTTCAGGCATTCTGACGAGGAGTAAAGTTCAACAAGTTGCTATAGCAATTTTCCACCCAGCATTCTCCAAGTCTGGTATTTCCTTCCAAATTGCGCTTGTGAGGAAGGTGAAGTAGCTTGTCTCTCTAGCAACTGCTTCAAAGCTTCAACTTACATAGGTAAAATCATTTTTTCATGGAAGAACGTGAAGGATTTGACGTGCACGTTCCCCTGAATACTCTTCCACAAAGCATAACTGTAACATCTGAAGTTCACATTTTTAAAATGCAGCCAACCTAGACTAGATACTCA